GTCCTCCCCATCACGTGAGCTCCGCGCGAGACCAATGGGAGCACTGCTTGGGGCGAGACGGTGCGGCGACCAGAGCCAAATGGCGCGCGAGGACCGCCGCGCGTCCGCCCCCTGCAGTAGGTGGGCAGGAAAGGGGCGGGACCAAGGCGAGCCGCGGAGGAACGCGCACCTGGGAGCGGGGAAGCCCACGCGAGGAGCAAGCCAGGGCAGCGCCCGCGCTCCGCCAGTCAGCGAGGGTGGAGAGCACTCCCAAGCCCCTACGTGGGAGTGTGCCTGCGTCTCTGTCCCCCAAGATTCGGGCTAGCGTGCGTAGGGCTCTACTAGCCTGGCTCACTAGAAGCGAAGGGCACGAACTAAAAACTCCGCCAGCCACCCCTCTGTCTTGTGCGGGACCGCGGTACCAGATATGCTTCCATAGGACGCAAACAGAAGGACTTCATAGGGAAGTGGAACTCCGGGCCCCCAGCTCACTGGAATCTAACCCACTGCTCTACCAAATCCTGTCTCCTAACCCTGGAGTTGGAGACTGAAAGAATCACGAAGAAAGTGAGGGTCTTAGGGGTTAGGACTTGGCTTCCATGGGCAGGAGGGCAAACAAGGAGAGGGCGAGTCAGCCCTGAGAAGGATGTGCGTTTCTGGGAACTGCTACGGTACAGCCCTCTCCTGCCTCCACCCTGGCCATCAGCTTGTGAAGGTCACTGCCCCAGAAGGCCACCTACATGGCCAAGCAAGGATATTCGGAACTCCATCATGTCCAGGGAGAGCAAAGACCCAGGACTATGTCTTCTCAGCCCAAGAGCCCTCCTGTCAATAGTACCAGAAGGATATTAGGCTGGATGAGGCCTCATGCTAGTTCCAGCACATTCCCTTTCAGGGAAACTAGCTGCTGCCCCGGGGGCCTTAGGAAGCTCACTGAAGGATCCCACAATCCCTCTCAAGAATGGGCAGATTCCATATTCCTGTAAAATTCCTAAGGTTTTATTGGAGACCAGGCCTCTCTCTGGACCCACAACCATATCCAGCCCAGAATCAGGCCACAAAACGTGCCTGGGACCCTGTCCCCTTCATTCTGGTATAGGCAAGTCCCTACACATGGCCAAGAGGAGGGACAGTACCCAGACTGTCCCCAACCAGTCAACCTGCAGCAAGCCCACTTTGGGAAGAAGGAATCTTTCCCAAAGAGAGAAGACCTCAGACAGGAGCAGGCTGGTGGGAGGCAAAGTGACCAACAGGGCAGAAGCCCTGCCTTGCTGTGTTCAACTGTCATTCCCACTGCAGGCGCTGTGTATGCAGGGCCCGGCAATATGCCCAACTGCCTGCAGCCAGGGCCCAGCGACAGACATCCTCCTTTGGCAGCAGCAGCAGTCTGTCCTCCTCCAGCCGGCTCAGGAGGCCTGCCGCACCCAGCATCGCACCTCCCCACATCCCATAAGTGTTGGCTGTGAAAACAGCCACAATGAGGATGGTCACTGCGACCACCAACAGCATTGCTTGACTAGCTACAGAGCGGCCCTCAGGACCAAGGTGGTCTCCAGCCACTGCCAGCACCATCCCTCCTCCCAGGAGCAGGTTGGCAGAAGAACGGTCCCCGTTCACCCAGTGGAAATCGAAGGCCAGAAGGGGCAAGCCGATGACAGTGGCCACCCAGGCTCCAGCAAGACAGTCTTCATGTGTACCCAGCCCTGGGGCGAGCATGGTGGCAGCAGCCAAGACCTGGAGCAGGAAGCCAGCGGCAGCCCCTCGACTTGCCTGTCAACACAGGAAAGGAGGACATGTGGGAAAAAGAGGCCGGGGGTCACCCTTTTAAACAGAAAAGGGTTTGGGGTTTTCATGGAAACCTGGTCCCAGGCTCACCTCCCATCACCCTCTCCCTTATCTGGGAAAGTAGGTCCTTGGGGTTTGGAAGGAGTGGGGATAAGTCCCTGCCCAGCCCCAGTGTACTCACCTGGGCAGTGCTCACAGCTGCGTGCAGAGACACCACGCCCAGCACCAGGTTGGACAGGGCTGTACTCCACTCAGCCCCTGGCTTGGGGGCCATGGCACCTCAGGCAGTAGTAAGTTTGAGGACACAGGAAGGAGATCTTCAATTTTGGAGAGGAAGAAAGAGCAGAGGCCGGCAACCTGGCGCCCTAAGGGCGGCTCTCCAGGACTCCCAGGTTACAGGGCCCCATTATTAGATGTTGGGATAGGTTCAGTCCTAACTTTCCGGAGCCCTGGAGCTACTGGACACACCTGTGCGGAACAAGAATCTAATTCGTCAGGGGAAATGGGGGAAAGCGGCCTGGGGGGGTTCTAGGCTGGAGGGGTGTGAGCTCTAGGGCCCTGGAGCCCAAGTGTGGGCGCCGGGCCTGGGGGTGAGGGAGCGGCGGGGAGCTCGCAGTCCCACGCAGCGGCCTCGGCCTTGTTCGTGCGCTCGAGGAGGCGCTGTTCTGGGAGCCCCGACAGGGAAGGAGCGACAGCGCAGGTCTCCGGGTGGCAGGCCGTGCGCAATTCCCGGGCTGCGCGGCTCCGACGCAGCGACGAGCAGGAGGCCGGAGCCTGCCCACTGCCTTCCGCCCCGCCTTCTCGGCCTGGCCTCGGGTTGCCTGAGCCAGCGCTGTCGGGCGCCGGCATCAGAGAGAGGAGCGGAGGCTAGAGCGGCTGTAGGGGGGGCGGGGAGGCCAGTGGGCGGCTCTAAGAGGAGGTGGGGCGGGGAAGGAGGAGCGCGCGGACCGGGAGAAGGCGCTCTGTTTGGGTAGGTGTGTGGTTTCAAACAGTGGTTTGGAAGAATTCGTGATGAGGGAGGGGAGGGGTCTGGGCCGGATTGTGGAAGGAGACCTGGGTTGAGAGCGCCCAAAGAGGGGCGGGGCTGTTAGGGCGGGCTCTGGGCGGGACGGTGCAAGAAAGTGCGCGGGCGAGGCTGTGAGAGGGAAGAGGGCTGGGCGGGGCTGTGAGGAGACGGGGTTTGAGCGGGGATGTGAGAAGAGGGGTTCTGGGCGGGGCTGTGAGAGGAAGAGGTCGGGGCGGGGCTGCGAGATGGGCGTTTGGGCAGGGTTATGAGAAGAGGGGCTCTGAGCGGGTTGTGAGAGGAAGGGGTCTGAGTGGGACAGAGAAGAGAGGTCTAGGCGGGTTTGTGAGAGCAGGGGTGTCTGAACGTGGTTGTGAAAGGAGGGGGGTCTAGGCGGGGCTGTGAGGGGCGGGGAGGTTGCACACCGCACAGAACCCTGTGCAGTGGGGGCTTACACGGAGAGCAAGAGGAACACGGGGAGGAGGCGTGGGCGCTCTCAACCCAGGTCTCCGCAATGTACGGGTTAGGGGACGCAGACGAGGCTGTGAGAAGGGGCAGTATTCCGGGGTGCGGCCGCGGGGACACCTGTTTCCGGGACCCCTGTCCGCGAGCTCGTCCCTCGGGCACGCGCCCTCCGCTCGTGGGAGCCGGGCCGTGGGGGCGGCCGCCGCGAGCATGCGCAC